CGCCTGCCATCCAGACAACCAATTGCCATGCATTGAACCCCCAGGCTGCCTCTTAGGGGGGGGGGTCTTGGGGTTCTGCGAACGGCAAATTCGCAACAAAATCCTCGATAAATGGCTATTGTGTTGGAAGCATGCGACTCGTCATCAGCAATAAACTCCGGTAGTCCGTGGCACAGCTCCACGATGTCATGGACAGCTTGTTAATCGGCGCCAGACCCAACTGTGAGTCGATCGATGCTAGTCCTCTGCCGCCAGGAGCAACTACGTCGGACATTCCACGGCGCCATAGCATGGGCAAGCTCTGCACATGCTGCATTGCGGGCACGGCGGGTTCAGTTATGGCTGCATGCCAAGTGCTCCAGCGCGGTGTTCTGCAATACGCATTTAAATGAACAAGTGCATGTTAGTTCTACAGATATAGCCTACCCCACGATGATAGTAGCGGACATCCTCAAGCGACGGCTATCCTCGCGAGCAATGGTGGAGCCCTTAATCACGAAAAGTACCCCGTGACTTTGCCCATGTGGCCAATGTCCATTTCGTGCAGAAACTTGTGGTGGAACTTGCCCGTGATTTTGCCTTCCTGGACCTCGTACACGAGAATGGACCCGATGCTCTCGCTGAAAAACCGACGCAGAAACCCAGGCGTGAATCGGTAGATGAGTTCGAACTGGACGTTGGACGACCGCGTCAAGACCGTGTCGGACACGTGGAGCATATTCTTGATGAGCAAAATGCCTTCGTCGATGCCGGGCTGGCCGTCGCTGTTGAGAGCAACGCACCCTCTCGTCGTGGTCGCGATCGTGCTAAAGTCTGGCACGTTCAAGTACTGCAGGACCGAGTTGTCGCTGGGCACTGCGATCGGGCTCGTGTAGAACTTGGAGTGAGCGTAAATGACTACGATGGCCAGGATCACGATGGCCCCGGATATGATGGCCGACAGGTAGTACGTTCGATCGATGGCGCTGTAGACCAAGCAGCTCGTGGAGGTAGGGAGGCCGCAAAGTCCTGGTATGTTCAAGTTCATGTACGGGAAGACAAAGCCTTCAAGGACAAAGACGACGATCCAGTTGATGCAGCTGAAGAGCATGACGAGCCACGTCTGCGTCACGACGAGCGGGTTGAACCAGATCTGGATCAGTGTGCCAGTCATGATACCGACGATGGACGCGACTTGGGCAGGGCCGCAGAGCGCGTAAAACATGGACGGAAAGCCACCGACGGGGTTCTGGATGAGGAACGTCGTCAGCGCCTGGAGGTTTTCGTTCCCGTAGAACGCGACGAAGAGGATCGCGAGGCCAATGACCGTCTTGGACATGTAGACCGGGACGCTGCAAATGACGCTCCGACGGAGGAAGATGAGCTGGAGCGCGACGAGGTATATCGACATGGCCCACAGCACGATCGAGTTGGTCACCATGAGCGAGTCGCACTTCCACGTCATGGTGACGACGCCCTGAATCTGGAGCAGCCACCCCAGATTCGTGTTAAAGTTGTACGTGTAGCATTGGGACACTCCGAGGACGTCCCACGGCGCGCTGGCCTGGATGATCCCGCCCATGTACTCGTCGACGGCGGGCACAGTCCGAATGAACTGACTGCCGCTCAGCCCGCCCGTGACCTGGGCCGTGTGGCCCGCGTGGAGGTATATCTGACTGCGTTTGCATACGCCGATGTAGGTTGCGACGCCCTTGTTGACCTGGATTGCGTACGTGTTGACGTCGAGGCCGACTTCGTTCTCGCACATCCATTTCGGGTCATACTTGCGCTCCGAGCAGTACGCGAGCGAGTCGACAGTCGCCGTGGACTCGGCTTCCTGGCTCAAATAGAAGCTCGTGCGGCGCACCATGCACGTGATCGCCATGTCGTGGCCATCGATGTAGAACTGGACAACCGCTTTGTTCCACCCGCTCAGGTTGTTGATGTGCTTGAACTTGACGAGCTTGGTCGGGTCTTGGAAGAGGGGCTGGTCAAAGTTGGGAATGAGCGAAAACGCCTTCCCGACGGCCATCCAGACCTGGTTCGTGTCGCCAAGGAACGTGGCGGCGCACCCCTGGTCGTTCATCCCGCACGTCTTGTAGAGGAGGTCGCTCAGGGAGACCGTCCCGTCGATGGGAGACGACGAGTACGTCATGTTGATGTCGCCAGATCCTTGGAGGAGCGTGTTGACCGGGACGTCCCATTGATTGTAGTCGAACGCTTGCATGACGACGCCAAAGAGGACGGGTGTGTTGGCAATGCTGTTGAGGTAGTACGTACTCACGGCCACCACAGTCGCGAACCCGAGGTACAACACGGAGAGGACCATGCCCTGGCCAAACGGCGCTCGCTCGGGAATGGGAATGAGTTTCTTCATGCTTGACGACGTCGATGACTTGGTTAGGCGCCCCCAGGCATGCCCGTCCTTGGTCGTGGCTGGAGGAGTGTCGGCGGGCAGAACAGGACCTTGCGGCGGAGGCTTCTCCGCCATGGAAACGAAGAGATTAAAAGTGAACTTCACCACCGAGTGGGATCTCCAACGGGGCTCGATATAGAACCTGTCCGCCATTATTGTAGTTGCCGTCCACGGCGCTAGAAATAAACTAACGACGCTTCATGGATAAAGATAGATCGCAATGGCGTGTCCGTCGCGGTCGTGCGGTCAGCCGCGGCTGCCTCGCCCGTGTTTGTTGTCCACGGCATGGCATCACAACAGCCAGCGGTGGAATGCGTCGATGATCGCGTGAGTGGCTGGCTATCCTGGCATGAGCGAGGGCGGTGGTTTTCTGAGGAGCCGACAGCAACACGTCATGACAAAGCCAGAGTTCCATACTTGGGTGATCGGTCTGTCGGCAGCTCACGTCAACGTGTCGCATATATCTTGGCTCCGGACAACTGCATCCGCTCCTAGAATAGCATCGGTGTACCCGTCGGCGGCACATTCGACGGGGTGGGACTCGTTCGACCCACGAGAACATTCGATGCTGACATAACCTTGGCCATGCCATGTTGGTGGCATCTCGACGCATGGGAATGGTATCGTACACGTTCATGGGTTACTGGTTTCAAATGTGCACGTGATCGTCTTGCGTCGTGGCTACTGGCATCGACGCAAAGCTTTTCCACCGTCGACCTACTGACAAACGGCAAACTATCACGATCGTCGGCGGCATGTAGTGCGTCGAGTTAGGCTGCAGTAGAGTGCACGGCGTCCTCGTCGACGCCATCGACAGAGTGGTGGATGGGTGGCTGGTGTTGGTGCTGTTCTCGTTCGAGCAGACCGATGTCAACGAGTGCGTCGCGCGTGTGAGTGGATGCGAGACCGGGTTGGGAGGGCAGTTGGTGGCGTTCTGGCGCATCTTCGCTTGTGTGTTGCATGAGTTTGTCCAAGTGGGAGTGCCCAAGACATCCGTCGTCCTTGTACGTGCGTCCAGCGACCATGGTCGGTGGGACAGCCTTCATTGCCTTGGCGACATCTGCATGAGGTGCGACGAGGCCGAGTGAACATGCAGAGCACGCTCGAACGGGGGCGTCCGACACGGTAAGGGTCCAGAGACTGCTGCAGCTGTGGCACACCACCTGTGCATTGTACCAACTTGAGTTGCTGGCGTTGGAGAAAGCAAAGACTTGTGTACCTCGCCACACTTTCGACATCGCGCTTTCCGAATGAGAGGGCCAAACTTCTTGTTGCAGAGATGGCACCGCGCGCGCGCCGACTTTGCGACAAGGTCACATGTGTCGATGAGCGGACCTTGGTTCAATCTCGTTTCGCGGACAAACGTTTGAATGTCGCTAATCCCACGAATGCGGCGGCGCACACCTGCCTTGATCTCCCACGACGGCACCAAACCTTTCTGGAATCCGCCGTTCATACTCGCTTGGAAGAGATGCGTGGCACGAATGTAGCCTGGGCGGTCCGACTCGGAAAAGACGTGGCCCGATCGGAAAAACGTGCCGCGGACGACGCCGAGGGTCGATTCAAAGTCGGGGCAACAGCCGAGTTCTGTCGAGTACACGGCGCGCACCCATCCGCGCCGTCCGTCCTGCTCAAACTCGTACATGCTCTGCCACGACGCAATGATTGGCATAACGGGATTCGACATGCGACGAGAGAGAAACACGTACCTCGAGGAAGCACCAGTCGCGGTTCTTGAGCAGACCGCTGCCAGGCATTTCATTGACAGTCCACTTGATGTTGACTGCTTTCAACGGATGCTCGTCTGTGGGTCGAACGAGGGTGTACAAATTGTGGCCATCCAGCAGGTCGGACGCAAATCGCCGCCGAAACTCCTTGTACTCGTCGGTGGTGTGGGTCTGGAAGAGTGACGCGACCTCGTTCACTGATGCTTGGATTTCGACAACGCCAGCGTAACACAACACGTGCGAGGGAAGCGTCGGGTCGTTAGCTGTGTAAATGTGGATGTCGCTCATATTCGACTCGAGTGTCCATTGCAGCGGACCTGTGCCGTCCAAGATGCTGTGCGCAACCTGGGTGAAGAAAGCGCATGAGAATTCAAACTGCGAGGGGATGTCGTGTACCAAGTCAGCGGCGTTGGCACTGGCTTTGCGCAGGAACTCAGTTTCCTCGTCGGAAGACAGCATAGGACATCGGAAGAAGTCGGCAGGAAGCGGAAGCTTGGGCCGCGCCATTGTCGGAATGGTGTCGCAGCAGACGGCGCATGTCGCCGCTGCGTCAACGCGGTCGCATGTTTGGAACGCGTTCCAGACACTCCACCTACTCCATTTCGCCGAATCGCCATGTTTCGAACCTGTTCGAAACACTTGCGATGTCGGAAGACGTACATTGGCACTTCTCGAAGATTTTGTGAAAATTTGCTCAAAGCATGGCCAATTTTACTGGGTTTATGATCATGACCTGACATTAACTAACTGCAACAACGATTCATTCAATCATCTCTTTAAATATTGATCGAGAGCTCTCGCACGTTTTTAATGTGTCGTAACTAACACACAACGTGATCAACACCCGTAGGTATCTTCTCCAGAGCATGACTTTCAGAGGTATTGCGTCAGGGGTTTCGTGGGCACTTTATTGGATTAGAATCAATTTTCCCACCACAACCTTTTGACCACGCCAGCACACACAAACACCTCTCAATATTATTTCGATTTCGACCAGTTACATCATTTCCATGCTCGAGGGTTCCCATGTCAAAAATGTGTCGGACGCTCTACCCGGACGAGAGCCTGGAGGGCTATCGTTAGCTTGCTGACAAAGAGAATGACACACCCGCATTCGATTACCCTGTCATTATCAAGGACTTGGACGAAGGAGGAATTGACGTATTTTGCAACTTCATGCTGCTTTACACTTGATATAATTGTATACGTTAAATATTTAAGACAATACAAACAAGCATATGTACGATTCAATATTTGATTGTCAAGTTTGGACTACCTCATCAATTCTGACGAATTTTCTCCGACTATGAGTCTCTTCCGAAATATACATGTCGTGAAAAGCAAAAGTAACAACGTCATGTGGATAAAATAATGCTACTTTTCGGTATACAACAACTACATCCTGTGGTGAAAGTCTGCTGTCGGAAATCCTCGTGCTATTGAATACTGTTTGTAAAGGACCTGGACACATCGCTGATCTTTGAGAAGAAACAACTTCATGACTGTCGTCGACAGCACCCCGTGTGGACATCAATGGTTGGTTGCTGGCATGTCGCCGCCGCTAGTCCCAAGACAGGATGGCCTTGAAGGAAATTGTAGGTCGATAGCAAGAGAGAGAGAGTGTGTTCATTAACTCGTTAATTTTCCTAGGACGTTGCCTCAGTACATTCGGGATCATTGCACATGTGTTTCTTTTTGGTCGGGAGATGGCTGCCTGTGGCCTTCAATTCTTGCTTCTTCTTCCACGTAACCCTCCTTTCTTCGGCACTGCTGCTGCTGTCGTCCGAATCGGGTTCGCTTTCACTGGAGCTTTCGCCAAATTCACGCTTCTTGTGAAAAATGCAGCACCCTACAAGCATCAATGTGAATGGCAAGATCTTTGCACAAGACATCGTACGTTTAGACTTTTTGCGGCCAAAGAACTCGTTGTCAATTGCGGTTTCTTCATCAAACCTGACGTGTGGCCGCGGGTCCAAGCGCATGACGTACACTTCCGACCTCGTTTCAGGCTCGGCCACTCTGGTGATCGTTGCCGATGCCGTCGCAGGCGCATTCGGTCGCGTCGTCGTCGTCGCAGTGTCCATGGTTCACTGTTTTCGCCAAGAAGAAACGAAATATTTGTTGTGACGGGTTGAGTTGAGCAACATTCTCGAATGTACTGAATGTTACGGGGTTTTGGAACCTGCAGCATTCGATATCCATTTGGAGAGTACATGGTTTGATTTTTCAAAATTAAACCCCCTGGCCTGAGATTGGTGATTTGTGGTTTGTCGATTTCTTTTATAACCAATCAAGTATCTCAAATGAAGTATTAACTCATGTTTTCAGCCAATCATGCTTCCCAGATTATCGTGTTCACACTCACGACTCGACGGCGCCAGCGTTATCCAAGCCTGGCGAAGTGCCTCATACCGACACCCGATGAACCAGCATCAGCACCGCGGCGTGACTTTTCAACAAGTGTTCCAGTGCTTGAGTCGCGAAGGGTGGTTCTCTCAATGGGGCTTGTCTGGTATGAGTTATTTCAAGCCAGGAACAGTCGTGGGAACTGCCGTGTTCAACCAGAATGTGTTCGTGGGCGAAGCGAACGTTGAGATGTACTGGAGGCATTCAGGGGATTGGCAACGCGTCGAACGCATGATTTTCCAAGCTCAGCTGAACAATCAAATGCACCAGAACCAGCTCAATCAACAGCGACAACATCACCAACTTCAGCAGCACATGGCCGCAGTGGCCTCCATGCCCCGCGGCATCCCAATGCCCCAACAAGGACATCCTCCATCTGGAGCGCCGACGACACTGCCATCTGCCGCCGAATTGATGGACCAACGCGCGCGATCGCTCAACTACCCCCTCGACATGCTCTGTGACATTCTCGCAGTCGACAGGGACACACCCAACGGCCAGGCCCGCCAACGACAAGCTCGACAACAACTCCAACAGCAGCAACAACATCTCCAGCAGCATCATCTTGCCGGGATGCACTCGATGGGCGACCCCAGCCGCTTTTCCATGCTCGATCCCTCCCACCCGTCGTCCATTCTGTTTCCACAATCCATAGGGCCAACTCCCACAATGCAGTTGATTCCGTCGCACACGCCACCACCGTCCAAGGTGACGATGTCGTCGGGTACTAGCTTGCCCGACCAAGCAGCAGCGCCATCACATGACGGTCTCCTTTTGGTCGATCCGTCACCATCCCACACACCACCAGACGCAGCGCCTTCTGTGTCGGAGCTCTCGGACGCACCAACGACCATGTCAGCGCCGTCAAACGATAAGAGCGCAAGTGCTCCAGTGACGAAACCACCGCCAGCCAAACCCAAGAAGCGGAGCCGAAACTTGTACATTCGCCTCGATCAGATGAAAACAGTGCTGCGAAAACACGGGTGGAAATGGGTGGAGGGGCCGAAAGGATTCATTTACTGCAAGCCACACGTCCAAGTCGCGAATCGAGGCAAGACCATGTCGGGAAAAGACGGCGTCGACTACTTTTCTGGGCGCCAGTCGTTTGAGGCGTACGTGCGGAGCCAGAAGTCGTTGATGGAGCTCATTCAGAACGAATTGAAAGAGAAACACGGCGGCGCTGTCTTTTCGATGGAGATTCCGCCAGAAGACCAGCTCTGCGCACCTACGTACAAGGAGCGTGCCGAGCTCGCCCGACGAAAGCTTATGAAAGAAAAACGCATGGCCGCATTGGCGTTGCGGCGGAGCCAAGAAGCTGCCATCGCCAGAGCTGCTGCTGTAGACCCTGCGGGGGATGTACCGTGCACAACAGCATCATCGGAAGCAACGACGGTCAGTGTGTCCGATGGCACAACCAGCGTTGCCGTAGGCATGGGCGCTTCCTCTCCAACGAGCGAGCCTGCTATAGCGACCCGACATGAAACACCGTTGCAGACAGCTGAAGCACCTCCTTCGACAGAACGACATGATGCTCAAACTAGCGAGGAAGCTGTCTCTGCAGTTGACGGGGAAGTGAGCGCGCACGACCAAGGGCACGTGCCGCCTTCAGTCGACTCGCCGAAGTCAACAACTCTCGTAGTGTAATCGATCGAAACGTGTTCAGACGAATGTCGCGATTTGGCTTTCTCACAGTAGCCATCTTGGCGCGTCTCGGCGAGCTCGTGATCACGCTACATGGTTGAACAAACTCGACACAAACGATGCAGGTGCTCGAAAGGACGCCCGATCGCTTCATCCCGACGGTGGTGGCGAGGCCGGGACGTCCACAGACACTGCCGACCGCATTCGAACCGTGCGGCCATGCGAGTCGTAGCCCATGCGGACTGTGTGCATGAGGACGTTCTCCAACACGGGGATTTTAAACGGGAGGAATGGAAAGCTCAGGAGACCGTACAGCGTCCGGATCCAAAACATGAGCATCTGGCGCTCCCACGTCGGCACGACGACGACGTTGACGGCAAGTGCCAGAGCCATCGTGATGCAAAACGTAATGGTCTCGTACCCACACAACTTCATGAGGTACCCGCCGCGATCTATGTGGAGAACGTTCCCAAACATGTCTTGGTAGGTTGCCGCATGGCGCGACGACAATGACCCGCGCGGAGAGAGCGGCGCCGTCGACACAGGCCGCTCTGTGTACGGCAGGTAAAAGAACGCGATCCATACGAGGGCGATCTGTCCAAGGAAGAAGACGGTATTCCACGGCGACAGCAGGGGGCCATCTAGACACGTTGACGCTTCATGAGGGACGCAAGGTGACGATTACCAGGGCGTTCTTACAATCGTGACAGGATTGCTGGCCGTGGGTAGTGCAGTAGATGAAGCGTATGATCCCAAGGAACGTGGCACCGAGGCCAAGTGTGAGGAATTGGGTCGTCTTGAACCCGATGATGAACTGGCACAGCTGGTGCTCGTTCTTCTTGTCCTTGAGAAAGAAGAGGTAGCACCACCACGCTTGCCCGATATAGGGAAGTAGCCCGATCAGGTTGAGGGCCCACCACATCGGGTTCTTGAAGCATCGCCATATCGATTGATCAAACGGAAACAAGTTGTACAGAATGACTGCACGACTGCGATGCCAGCGCTCGTGCAACCTATCTGCCAACGTCTACGAGGCCATTGACAGAGAGTGACGGTGAGCAGTGGAAGAACGGCCACACACCTGTGGGTGGTCGGAGAGGCGAGGGAATGACGTGACCGCGGTGGCAGAAGCGACATGCGTCGTCGCGACGAACAGGTCCTTGGTCTTTCGCGACAGCTCTACCTTGATGTCTGGTAGAAATTGGTCCACAGCCACGTCGATGTTGGCCTAGTGGATCGGATCTCAAATTGTGAGAAACGAATGGATGTACCTGGAGGTAGACTGGCATGTCCTTATCTTTGATGGCTTCCTTGAGTTTCTCGGCAAATAGGTCCAACGCGCGCTCGAGATACCGTCGGACTGCACGATGCATGGCGTCCTGCATGCCGCCTTTGGTGTCAACTGCCATCTCGAACAGCTTGTTTCCGACAAGACTCAATGTGGACCGACGCCGCACGACAGGGGGGGATGCATTGCTTGAGTTGCTTGATATCTGAGATGTGAGCATCGAAGGATTCGTATTTGTCACGACGGATAGGGCATGCAAAAGTTGCGGCAGTGGAAACTCGTGAGGGTACCGTTGGGCGTACACCTCCATATGGCCCACCGCGTCCGGCACGGGAATCGCCTCGACAGACACTGTTGACGACAATTCATCCCAAAACGATTGTACCCGCACGCGCTGCACAATCGAAAGGTGCATCGCGTTTAACGCGTTGTTGAGGGTTGTCATGGACACTGTCGAGATTGTCGTCGAAGGGTCTCTATTCCCCAACAATGGAGATCCTTCGGACGTAGATGCATCCACATTTTCATCTTCGACCTCCTTATGCGTCTCCATCACCAGACTGAACACAGCAATGCTGGCAGAGAACGCCGCCGCGCCGCATGCGGCCTGGAGTACCCACCGCTGACGAAACATTTTGTCGATTGCACTAAGAGAAATACGGATAACTTTGTGAGTAACCGGAAGAGACATTTGAAAGGCGTGACAATGTCAGACAGCTCACTCGGGAACTGGACAGGTCTCAGAGTGTTCATTGAGAGCACGAGTGCTTGATGGCCACTGACATCTTGTGAACATCAGAAATCGATTGCGGCCTGCCGTATGGCAATACAGCTCAGCATCCCCGTCGGTTAGAGGACGACTTCAACTCCACATGAAAATAGTTAAATTTTCTCAATTTAATTGGCTAAATGTATTCTTCAATGGCCAATAAGAACAACTTATTCTATTCTTTTTATCGAATCAAATGTTTATTGCTTCGAGTTTGTACCTGAAAGTCAATTGACGCGAGAGACATGAGAGTGTCTGCGCCCGGCAAAGTCCTGATCACGGGCGGGTACCTCGTCCTGGACCCTGCATTTTCTGGAGCCGTCATCGCTGCGAGCTCTCGCTTTTACACTTCCATCACTCTGGAATCCTTGAAAGATGACGACGTCGCACTGGCGCCTTCAACTGCCGTTCCAGTGCGCATCCACAGTCCCCAGTTCCACCAATCCATGCAAGGTGTCCTGACGGCGTCGTCGTTCCACATTTCGTACGTCTTCCGTGGGGTTTGGCGCATCATGACAACCATGTATCTAGCCCTGACAGCATCCCGAATCCGTACGTTGAAAAAACCATCCGCATCTGCGTCGTGGCGCTTGTGGGGCTCCTGGGTGCCGCAGCATTCGAACGCCACGTACACGATATGCTTCGACTTCGTCAAAGCCTTGCCATCACGCTCGAAGCTGACAACGACTTTTACTCCCAACGAGACCAAGTATTTTTCTCCTTTAGTTATATTCTCACTCCAACGATGCGTTGAAGCTGCATAACCAAGGGTTACCAGTCAACCGCAAGACCCTAGCATCACTTCCTCCATTTCTACCGAGTCTTTTAGATGATGCAGGTTGGTTCAAAGGAAGCACACACTCTGTGACGTCCCTTGTGTTCGAATTAGGCCACGCCAAGATTTCCAAGACCGGCATGGGCAGTTCCGCTGCGCTCATCACATCACTCGTTGGAGCCCTCTTGGGCTTTTTCGGAGCCGCAAACTTGCCCACCGATGCTGGGCCTCACGATGCGTCAACTCAAGTCGGAGCCGACTTGGTCCACAACCTCGCCCAAATCGCGCACTCCATCGCTCAAGAAAAGGTCGGTGCCACCGTTCGTCGTCAAAGGTCGCGGTCGGCGCACTGTGGGCATGACAGAACAACTCAATCTGTGGACAGATCGGGTCTGGGTTTGACGTCTCGGCCGCCGTGTACGGGAATCAACTGTACAATCGATTTCGCCCCGACGCCATCGAGCCGTTTTTGAAGGAAAACATCGAGCAAGTAGACCCCGTCGCTTTGGCTGCCCATTTGACGACGCCGTGGGACAACGTAGTGGTGCGACCTCGGAAGCGGCATGCAAAGTCTGATCTGGTTACCCTAGCGTCCGTTTTGTTTGCCGGACGGGATGCACCTGATCATGGGCGACGTGAATGCAGGGTCTGCCACCGTGTCCATGGTCCGCAAAGTCCTGGCGTGGAAATCGGCCGACCCCGTTGAATCTGCCGCCCTTTGGGAAAAGCTGAACGGCAGCAACCAGCAGATTCCAAACTTGCTGGAGCAACTGCACACGCTCCAAACGACCAAAGCCAATGGCACGCTGGAGAAGCTGAGCCACTTGTCTCATCATCAGGTGCGCTTGTTGTTCAGCTGTCTGCGATAAAAATGCTGAAGCATGAAATGACATTACTAGTGGGAAAGCACAGATGCGGACGTAGGACGTCTCCTATCGACGATGCGGCAGACGTTCCTCACGATTCGAGGTTACTTGCGGTATGTTCTCTGACCGCCCTCTTTGGAGAGCAGGGCTCATCTGTCGTTGCAACTAGCGACATGGGCGACCTGGCTGGCGTACAAATTGAACCGGCGGATCAAACAGCGTTGATCGATGCCACGATGGATGTTCCTGGGGTGCTCTTCGCTGGAGTTCCTGGAGGTACCTTCACCCATCCTCGTCTTGAGCTCGAAAGTTTTGTACCATGCGTGAATTGATCATACAATTGGGGTTAGCCGGTGGAAACGACGCAATCTTTGCGATTGTTCTGCATGCGGATGTCCTCGACCGCGTCGAAGCATTTTGGTCCACGTGGAAGACCACAAGGTATAGAAAGAACCTTTTTGCGCCGTCACTAACGCAAGAAACGCTAGTGTCAGCGCGCTGTTGGTGGACGCCGCGGTGAACGGCTTTCGAGGTGGACTGCTCCGAACCATCCAGGACAAATGAAGCTGCTGCACGCGTATACGGCCGGTCGGACATAGTTCATACATGTTGCTATAAAGACTTCAAATGCTCGACGTCTCGAACCATGGTCACTTCAGGGCCGATATCCAACAAGGACGGAATGCGCATCTTGATCGGGGCGTCCGTTTTCGCGTATGGAATCTCCGCTGTGCCTTCTTCCGAGGCGCTCGACGTCTCATCGCTGCCGCTATCGTCGCTACTCTCATTGCTGCCTTCATCGCCACTGCTATGGACAGAAGCGTCTTCACTGCTCCCTGTACTTTCGTCGTCGTCTGCGGGCATTGGCACTGTGCGACGCTGTTGGCTTGGCCCATCACACATAAACGCAAACGCTATGCGTGACAGCGCGTTTGACATGTAAAATGTACCGACGAGTGTTGCGAGGAAGGTGGCCACAGTCGGCCAACTCCATGAGTCGCGAAAAAAGATCTCGTTCACCGCACGCCGCAAGATTGCTTCCATCATCACGACGTCGGAGATGTAACAGTCAATGATGTTTCCATCATTGAGTTAATTCAGAAATAGTTGTGTACATGAAAAATCCGAATTTGAAATAGATTTTTGTTAAAGTACGATTTGGATAAGTACATGATGTGGTTGCCGTTTTACATACCAAATCGCATGCAGTCGATCGCACTTAAGAGGATACGCGATCCAAGACATCGGCAGGCTACCAAGTGTAACGAGCCGGTCCAGAGCACTCGCCGATGGAAGTCGCGCTCGTTGGCGGGGCCATGCAGGTTGTATGCGCTATAATCAACAACGTACTTGGGAAGAAGAAAGGAGATGACAATTCGACGGAGGTAGAACTGCAGCAACAGCTCCTGGAAATGAAACAGAAGGTGTTCGCGCTCGAAACGGAGCTGGCCGAGCTGCATCACAAGATGGAACGAGACGAACGAGAAGCGCGACAACGGCGGCTCAAGCGAACAGTCGAGACGTTGCAACTGCAGATTCGAAAGGACAAGCTCGACCGACGAGACATGTCGGCCCTCATGGCGCTCTCATCTGTCGTCCATCGTGTAAACTACGCCTGGATCGGCTGTGTCGTATGCTTCTGGTATATTGTCGGTCTTAGCTTGGACTTTAGCAGCCGCTACGTATTCCACGAATAAGCACGCGTGTGAGAGTGCATGGTAGTCAATGAAATTATGACAACCGCCTCACGCCTTGGCTTTGCATCAATGCTGGTGGTTCGTGCCTAGGGAAAGCTAAAAGGTAGACTGGACAGCACAATTCACATGCCACGAGTTAAGTGCCACAAAGTCGTCTTTTTCAACTACGGCTTGTACACGCTTTCGCCAGCATTCGTCATGCAGCTGCCGCCAAGATGATACGATGCTGCTTATAGCACCTGCGTCATATGCAAACACGGATGAAAACTTGTTCGAATACCGCGCCCATAATTGTTGCGTTTCGTGTGTGAGATAACTCGTGAGATTGCTGAGGTTCCAAGAATCGTCCCACCGACTGCTTCACCTGCACGCCCAGAGGTCCACAGTGAGCACTACATGAGCGCTCAACGCTACTATGGCATGCACGGATTCCTCGACACTTTCAGTCGCCAACGCAAGAATGGTGTAGGCGTCTCAGGGAGTGTGCTAGCTGGCCTGTGCATTTGTTCACGAACGCGATCTCCGTGGAGGCGTTTGATGCTCCTGGGCGCCACATCGTCGTCGTCCTCGAGCACATCTCCCGCCTCCGCGCTAATTTAAGCATCGCGTGTCTACCTCACTTCAACATGACGTGGCAACGGGACTGCGTATCTTTGCTTAGGTGCGGGCTACATTAACAATGCATCGCATTTATTCGAGAGCATACGGAGTACAATAAAAATAACTGGGTTTTGGTACATGTCCAGTAAAGTTTCTGGAATTCTAGCATAGAAACGTCTCGTACTTTCCAGAAACCTCCCACGGACAAGGATTTTCTGGAATCCCGCGCCAAACGGGCGTTGGAGCGGCGGCCATTATCCGATTAGACATCGAGGACACAGATCAAGAAGAACAACGATGAGCTTGAACCCAAGCGAATTCACAGACAAGACCAACGCGTACCTGAAGGAGTCGGAAGCGTTGGCAGAAGAACACAATCAAGCGCAGGTCACGCCATGGCACCTCACCGCAGTACTGTTCCGCGACAAGGACGGCCTCGCACGACGAATCGCCGAGAAGGCGCAAGCAGACGGCAATTCGATTGCACGAGACGCGTTGGTCCAAGTCACGAAGCTTCCGTCGCAAACGCCTGCACCAGACAACATTTCCATTGACTCGGCGCTCACAAAGGTCCTCAAGGCCGCCGTCAAGATGCGCAAAGATGCCCAAGACACTCATCTTGCCGTGGATCACATCGTGTTGGCGTTGTTTTCATTCTCGCCTGTGGCGACAATGTTGACATCCCACCGGCTGCAAGAAAAGGCTGTCAAGTCCATCAACGACGGCATTCGCGGAGGCCGCCCAGTAACCGGTCAAAACGCAGAATCCAACTACGAGGCCCTGAAGAAGTACGGCCAAGACCTGGTTGAGCTTGCTTCAGCGGGAAAGATCGATCCAGTGATTGGCCGCGACGAAGAAATTCGGCGAACGGTGCGAATCTTGTGCCGTCGGACAAAGAACAACCCGGTCTTGATTGGTGAGCCTGGTGTCGGGAAGACTGCCATTGTGGAAGGCCTTGCTCACCGCATTGTCATGGGTGATGTGCCAGAATCCATCTCCCAATGTCACGTTGTGTCATTGGATTTGGGCGCGTTAATCGCCGGTGCCAAGTACCGCGGTGAGTTTGAAGAACGATTAAAGGCCGTCTTGAAGGAGGTGCAAGACAGCGATGGCAAAATCATTTTGTTCATCGATGAAATGCACTTGATCCTGGGAGCTGGAGCCACTAGCGGAGCCATGGATGCTGCGAACTTGCTCAAGCCGATGCTGGCTCGTGGTGAATTGCGATGCATTGGTGCTACCACCTTGGAAGAATACCGCAAGCACGTTGAAAAGGACAAGGCCTTCGAACGCCGATTTCAGCAAGTGCTGGTCAAGGAGCCGTCTGTTGCCGACACTGTGAGCATTCTTCGAGGATTGAAGAACCGGTACGAGTCCCATCATGGTGTGGCGATCACCGACGGTGCGCTTGTTGCTGCTGCGACGTTGGCGGACCGCTACATCACGGAACGTTTTATGCCGGACAAGGCGATCGATTGCATTGACGAAGCTTGCGCGAATGTCCGCGTCCAATTGGATTCCCAGCCCGAAGTCATTGACGCGTTGGAGCGCAAGCAGCTGCAGCTGCAAGTGGAAGCGACTGCGTTGGCCAAAGAAAAAGACAGCCGGTCGAAGGATCGCCTCAAGGTGGTGCAGCGCGAGTTGTCGCAAGTGCAAGACCAACTGACGCCTCTTGTACTGCAACACCAAGGCGAAAAGGAAAAGGTCAACGAGCTACGCCGCCTCAAGGACAAGCTGAACTCGCTGCACTTGAAAGTGAGCCAGGCTGAACGCAAGGGTGACTTGGCGCAAGTGGCTGACCTCAAGTACTATGCGATTCCCGATGTGGAGCGCACGTTGACCCGATTGGAGAAGGAGAAGGCCAACGACACGCAGTCGAATCGGTTGGTTGAAGAAGTGGTCCGTGAAGACCAAATTGCGCAAGTCGTGGCTCGGTGGACCGGTATTCCGGTTGACAAACTGACGACGAACGCCAGCGACCGCCTCTTGCACCTCGCTGATCGACTCAACGAGCGCGTGGTCGGCCAAGGTAATGCGGTACAAGCAGTGTGCGATGCTGTTTTGCGATCGCGTGCCGGTTTGAGTCGCCGCGATCAACCTACGGGGTCGTTTTTGTTTTTGGGGCCGACAGGCGTGGGCAAAACGGAGCTCGCAAAGGCGTTGGCGCTGGAGCTGTTTGACTCGGAGAAGCACATGGTGCGCATCGACATGTCGGAATTCATGGAAGAACATTCCGTGTCCAAGTTGATTGGGGCACCCCCTGGTTACGTTGGGTACGACGACCAAGGCGGCCAACTGACCGAACCCATTCGCCGCAACCCGTACAACGTGGTGTTGTTGGACGAAATTGAAAAGGCGCACCCCAAGGTGCTCAACGTTTTGCTTCAGCTCATGGACGAGGGCCGCCTCACGGATTCCCACGGCCGAACGGTCGACTTTACTAACGTGGTGGTGATCTTGACGTCGAACATTGGCGCCGAGTTTTTGCTGCCATCGGCTGGCAATGCCTCACCGTTGTCGCTGGACAGCATGGACCTGCAAAGTCCGACCAAGAAGCCGCGCTTGATTGACGAGCCAAGTCGAGGTCAGTTTGAAGCCCAAAAGAAGAAGGTGTTGGCCACTCTGCAGCGCACGGTGCGCCCGGAACTGCTCAACCGGCTCGACGACGTGGTGGTGTTTGAGCCGCTGGGCAAGGCGCAGCTGCGGGACATCGTCAAGTTACAGTTTCGGTCGGCTGAAGACCGCCTCCGCGAGAGCCACCAAATCACGATTGCGTTGACGACCCCGGCCCTGGATGCGATTTTGGCCGCCGCGTACGACCCACAATACGGTGCTCGACCGCTCAAGCGCTACATTGAAAAGCACGTGATCACTCAACTGAGTCGGTTGATTTTGGCCGGCAAACTCACGTCCAAGGCCCGCGTCCAAGTCGTGGCTTCCAACGAGTCGGACGGCGTCGACTTTGTCATTGAGAAAGCAGCCGCTCCCTAAGCACACCGACCTTGCTCCAAAGGTTTGGCTATTTACATTAACCCTGTATAATTTATACGTTTTTGTTGAAAATGCACCGGACTCGCGCTGCCGTTCGTCGTGGGTGCAATCCACTTGGCGAGGCTTCAAGTCGTGCGACCGATCCATTCCAGCCACCAAAATCTGCCAAGGCTGGTTGGTACAGTGCTGCGGCCCGCCACACGTCAGGTGCGACCGCTTCGACGACTGTTGTAGGGCCGAACGGCGGGGACATCGAGTGCGGCAAGTGGACGACCGCAGCATGGGGCGCGCTTCCAGTCGTTTCAACTAACAAGAGGGCCACGAAACCGACCGGCGTGACTCCAGTGTTGGACCGATGAGCTTGCAGCCCCTGCAGAGTCCGTTGAAACCTTCGGCCCTGTCAACCTTTGCGGCCACCACCGTCAGCCCCACATCCACGCCACTCGGAAGCGTCCGACCAACTGCGTTGAATGTGCTCCAAGCGCCGATGCATGAACTCGCGAGCTTGTGTCCATTGAAGCCACAACCATCGGCTCTGGCATCATTTGCCGCGACATCTCCATTGAAACAGCCGACGCCGGCGTCAGCCCTTTCGTCGTTCGCGGCAAAAGCTGCGACGCCCGCGCATTCTCCAACCCACTTGTCGCCTGTAGCTCCGTCGGCGCTGTCACCCTTGGCATCGTCGGAAGCACTGGCTCCACTCAAGAGACCATCCGCGCTGGCGTCGTTCGCAGCTCAGGACGTAGCCCTTGTTTCGTCAACACGACCAACAAATCATGTTCAGAATCCTCGCGGCGCAAGTGGCGGACGGCCCTTGGCCTCTCTCGGGCTCCACACGAGTTCACAACCTGACGAGAAGGCACGATCGAGGGACGACGGTGACGCTGGCGACGACAAGGAAAAGGAATCGATATCACCGACGTTTGCCGAGGCAAAAGATATCAAGTCGACAAGGCCACAAGAGCCCAGACTCCACCACGAAGATGAGTCGCCGGATGAGAAATCGACTGGTGATGAAAACTCCGACAAGGAAGATTTGCCGAGTGACGAGATCGAGTCGGCGGCGAGCGACAGCGACGATGCCAAAGAGAGCAAGCTACGTTGGAAGGCATATTCTTGCAAAAAGGGGGACGGCCATCCGCTCGACCAGAAAAGTTCCATGCGCGGCGGCACAACCCGGACTTGCCCACCTCCGTTATCGTTCCCCATCCAACAAACCAACGGCGACCGCATCTTGCTCGCGATGGTAAACGAAGACGTGGACGAATTGAAGCGCTTGCTGGACACAAGCAGCATGGGCTCCCTCGGCGCGATTCGCGACAGTTTCGATCGGTCCGTCATGCACTATGCCGTCGGGATTGGTGCCGAATCCATGTGCCAACTCGTGCTCGGGTTCCCTCAAGCGTGTGGGTGTGCACCGACCAGCCCGTCCAGGCATCGAGACAGTAGCGCCATGCATCGCCAGCATTCTCCAACCCATCGTCGCCGCGACAACAGTCCAAAAGCAAAGGCAGCGACGGCAAGCTCCAATCCGAACGGAGATGACGCCGCGGGGTTGGCCGTCTTGTTGTTTGGTCTGTTGTTGCCCGTCGACAACCGCCGTCG